ATTTTTAATACTAGAAATATATAAATAAGTATTGTCCCCACTATCTAAAGTTTCTGGATCCGTCACTATATATATATATATATATATATATATATATATATTCAACGTAAATACCTAAAAAAAAATCAATGTCATTGAAAATATATATGTCATTGCTAAAGTATTGAAAATTAATATTGTTTATTTCTTTCAAGTTTCAACTTCTTAAGAGAGCCATTAAAATAGGGTTAAAAAAAATAAAAGCCTTTAAAATAAATAGAAAGGCACGAAAGGCCAAAATAATTGTTCATTATTTTTTATTTCTTGTAAATAGAAAAATGCGAAATGTCTCTTTTTTTTCTCCTAATATATATAAAAGAATTAAAACGAAATATTGTTAATTATAAAAACTAAAAATAAAAAAAATAAAGATTATGAAGTTATAAGAAATAAATGAGTAATTAAACTTTTAAAAAATATTACCTTATATAGTTATCTTTTTTATATTGGTTGTGAATTGTTTAAACTCAAAGTCACAGTTAACTACTTAACTTTAATTGATAACCAAGAATATATCTTCTTATTATTATATAAGTTTTTCACGTAAAAAGCAAACTTTATTAAGGGTCTCTTTACGACTAGGTCAAGCAAAAACTTTACATTATCGTATTTTCACTATTTTATCTACTAACGCGACAAGAATGCAGACACATTTTATTATCCTAATCACTATTTTACCTATTGTCATCAATAAGAAACTTTTTTTTGGTAAATTTGTCAGCGACAAGAATGGACAACGAGGAACCCAAAAACACAAAATATATTAGAAAAATGTAAAGTCGTCTTCGAGATTTATTTATTGGAATTTAGAATGAAGTTAGAAAAATACTTTGGAAACCAAATTTTAAATTCCACTATTGATTGAATGCGTGTTTAGTTTGAGCGTTGTAAAAAATATTCACGTCCAAATCTCAAATTCACAGAGAAATTACTAGGAGTTGTTTCTATTTGGCGTGAAATCACGTTATAAAATTCAAACCAAACGTACCATACGTATAAGAAATATTAAAATCCAATGACATCCATTAGATGCAGATAATCTAATTTATTTAGCAAACTTGTCAATAATTTTTTTTAAAATATTTATCTCATCACTCTAAAATAATTAAGAATCAATTACAAGAAACAAATATTTATGGGATTTTATTTGTTTATTTAATTATTTTATTTTTGAGAATGATAGGATGAAATAGACGAAAATATTTTTGAGCTCAATTAGAGTAGTCTCTTTTAGTACACTGAAATATTTAAAATTATGTAGTTCTTTTTTGAAAATATTATGAAATGGTTTTTAATTAATTTGAAAAAATTATGGAAATTGTTATTATTTTTTTTAAGACTTTAAGATTTCTCAATTGTCATAACCATTTTTTTTTTAAGATTTCTCAAAATTGTCATGACCATGTCCTGTAAAAGGTATTAACAAGAATGTTAGACAGAATTATTTTCTTAAGTCTTTAAAAAAAATTAGAACTTTTAAGTCATTACGACTCACGCGTCCTAAAATTAGAACTAGGGTTGCAAATCTCTTATTACTAAGTTTGATTTTGATAGATAAAAGAAAATCTTAAAATAATTTGATTTTTTTTCTTTCAAAGATCATGTCTATCTTATAAAGTACTCTTAGATCCATTAAACTTTAACCATCGTGTGTCCCAAACCATAAAACTAATAAAAACATCACATTTACCTAAATTAATTAATTCATTTCATCATTAAGAAACATTAAGCTATCACAACTTATAAATTCTAAAAAAAACAAAGGTGTGGAATTAACAAAGCAGCAACAACTGAGTTAATCGAGCTTGATTTTTGAACAAATTGTTTTTTATTATTTACTTTTAAAAAGGTTCATAAGATTAATATTTGTTTTAAATTTCACTTATACCATTTGAGCTAGTGTGAACGAACAAGCATGTAGCATAATAAATTAATAAGATATGAGAAAACTCTGACAATAAAGTTGAGTTATGTTCTTCTACTTTTCTTCCTCCTTTGCTTATAATGATTTCTCTCCTTCTGTTATCTTCTTTACCAAGTCTTTTGCGTTTCTCTTACTCTGATATTTGGAGTCCCTAAGTCCTATAATTAACCACGTTATTTGGATGTATAGTATATATAGCATGTGTGTCTCAAATGGATATGACGTTAATGATATTGTTTAATCAAAGCTCCCAAACATAATCCCCGATATTAAGGAGGCTGATATCATTCAGTTGAAAACGTGTAGCTGTGTAGTGAAAATTGGAGACCTCGTTGCTCTTTACTCGACTGATTTCATGGACTGTCTCTTTCATTTTTCATTTTAGCTTTATTTTATATTCTATACATATTTTGGACCTTTGGTATCAAGTTTTCTTTTTAATGGGTTTTACTAATTTTTTTTAATTATATTATTAGTGCAATATATTTATCGACGATACTTATATTATAATAAATTTTTATGTCATAAGATTTGACTAATTACTTTTTAGTAAAATCTTCTTTTCTAACTAAATCTAAATTTGAAATCTTAAAAAAATTGGGTTCAATTTCAATTAGACTAATAAAAAATTATTACTTATCATTTATTTTAAGAAATGAAAATAGCAAAAAAAAAAAACATATTAAAATAGAACTTGTGACAAAAAATTAAGAAAATTTTTTAGTATAAACACATGTGACAAAATAGTGGAACATTATTGTGTATATCATCTTGAACAATTGGTTCAACTATACAATTCAAACCTACAATTACCTTTCTTAAAGATTTTAAATTGCAACCTTAGAGTATCTATAATGGAAGTTGCTTCTAAAGCAACTTTCTTTCACTTTTAATATCCCACTATGTTAAATCATTTATAAGTAATTCATATTATATTTTTATAATTTTTACTCCAATAAAATTTGTTTCTAAGCACCTACACTTTTTATTAACTCATATTTCACTTTTTAATAACTCATACTTCACTTTTTGACAATTTAAAAATAATTTTATTATTGTTATTATTATTAAATATTAATTTAGTAAAATATAATCTTTTAATATGGATAAAAAAATTAATAAAAAATTCACACAATTATTTTAATGCATTTAGAAATAAAAAATATTAAACCTTCTAGTGACTTTATTTTTTTTTTATTTTTTTTTATCTCTTGTTTTGTTTTTCGTTCCAACATGGAGGGGAGATATTTCTCCAACCAATTACAACACTCCATGTGGAAGATTCATAAACCCAAACTTCTTTGCTTTAATAATTAAGGGATGTAGAGTTAAAAAATTTTCAAATTTTTTGTGTCACATAAACTAACTTCAATGAACATTTCTTATTGGATTAATCAAAAAGTGATTTAAACTCAACGTGATTTGCCGAGTTGCTCACCAATTAAAACATTAAAAAAAATGAAAAATAGAAAATACAGAAAATAAAGAAAATAAATAAGTCTAACGGGATATTTAATTATAATGATTTGAGAGGCTGGAACTTGACACAAATATCATTTGTTTTTCCAGACCAATTGTTCAACATTTATGGTTTTTGTTATTCCAAGACATAATCATACCACACCGAATAAGATAACAGTAGAAACTTGTACAAGTCTTCTTTGACATTTGCTTAACTTCTTACTAATATGATAATGTTTTCTAATTTCAAGCGACTCTTTAATCATCTATGTAGCTATTTGTCCAATTGTCAAAATCAATATTATTGTCAACAACCTTTATGTTTGTAGCCTAGTACTAAGCTATGCTGTGATTCTTCCACTTTACCCTATGGAAGACCAACAAATAATAAGATTTACACCTGCATTTTTATTGCTGTAACATAAAATGCTTAAGAGCAGAATTCCCATCAAGTCCTTTACTATAATAGTGAGCATTGAAATCTTGCAATGATGTATCCCTGTACACTGGGGGATTGTCTTCTGATAGTAGTTCCTTGATGGGGCCATACATTCTAGCAGAGGGGTAGTTATCAAGAGTGAAAAAACATGCAACTGATACCCTAGGTCCTTTATGGCTTGCCACAACACGATGCTCCACGCTCTTAAATTGGCCATTGGATAAAAGCTGCAACATGGCAACATGAACTTGTCCTCAACTATGGAACCAATAGGAAGCTTAGTACCAGTCATATTTGTGAATAACTTGTATGGTATGAACTATATGGAGACTTTTTATCGGGAACATTACATTTGATCACCATGCCTGCATGTACTCACATTTTTTTTTTCTTCTTAATTAGATAATATTCGAACCACATTTTTTGTTAAATATGTGACACTATATTTGATCTCTTTAAACAAAATTTTGGGTTCAAGCTTATAAATGAAAGTACAATAACTAATAGAAATGATCAATTAGATTTTTTTTATAGAGACTAATTATTAATAAAATTGATAGATACTCCATGTTAAAAATATTAGTATAAAAAAAATCACAATTTTAAAATATGTGAATAGTTCAAATGTTATATTATAGTGAGTTAAATTTTTTTTTTCTAATTAATTAAAGGGTGAAAATAATGGACTTACTTGTAGCATATCTCCAATATTTACTACTAGAGCTCCAGGAATAGGGGGAACATCAATCCATTCATTTTGGTACAAAACTTGAAGGCCACCAATGTGGTCTTGTAGCAAAATTGTGAGGAAACCTGGATCTGAGTGTCTGTTTGTGCCCAAAGTAAGATGAGGCTGAGGACATGGTGGGTAATAGTGCATAAGAATCGAGTGCCCTTTTGCACAATCCATACTTTCAAGGTAGTCAGACTTGAGTCCAAGTGCTTCTGATAGTAATGCAAATAAAAGGCTCCCCAATGCCTGAACCTGCCTTGAGTACTCCATTGTTATATCCCTGTAAATTTGTGCACTTAACAGAATCAATTAATTAGATTCTTAACACAAATTATTTATTATTAAAGTTTGTATAAATTGCACCAACATCATGCATAACCAAATCTATATACAAGTTGTATATAATTCTGGATTATATTAAATATTACTAAACTTCGATTAATTACTAAATAATACTTATATATATTCTTATTTGTAGACTATTAATAAAGATAAGAAAGGTTTAAAAACAATTACCTACAAAGCAAAGGCAAATCTGGTGGATGAAGAGGTGGAGGAGCCATGGCGCAAAAGAGAGTGTCCCTCCAGCTTGCAAATTTCGACCGATACAAATCAAAGTTGCTTCCATACTTCACCTTCTTCTCCTTCTCCCTCGTATAGTACACCCTCTTCACCTCCTGCGCCGCCTCGTGGAACCCACGCGCCGCCGCCACCATCTCTTCCACCACCTTCGCGGCCACCCCGTGATTCACCACCTGAAAGAGCCCCACCGTTTCCGCCGCCCGCCGCACTCCCGCCACGACGGCGGCGTGCTCTCCGGCGAGTTCGATGACAGGAACCGTGAAGTGGGTGTCGCCGGAAAGTGGGGCGTCGACGGCGAGGTCCTCCGGAGGGCGGAGGAAAATTGGCGGCACGTGGGTGATGCCGGAGTCAAGGAGGCCTTTGACGCCGGCCTTGGATTCGTCGAAGATCTTAAGTTGTTGGAAACGGTCGGAATTTGTTGAAATTTGGACGGGGGTCACAAGAGCCATTATGTTGTGCCCCTTTGTTTTCAGCACTTTGTTTTTCCTTTGATGTTTCTTCTTGTTTGTGTAGTATATAATAGTATAAGAGTTAATCAACTATATAATGTGAAAAAAGTTTAGATAATCAATTAGATTTTTTAATTGTGTCATATTACTATAAATATATTTACTTTTAACAGTGATATGACACAATTAAAAGATTTAATTGATTGTCAGTGTAAAACAACTTTATACTGACAGTGTATAAATGATTAACTCGTAATATAATACTATGGCATACCACATAACACATTTGTCATCATAAGTAAAGTTCTCATCTCACTTTATTTGTTAACAGTAATTTTTATTTTTTTTAGAATAAAGAGAAATGTTAATTTCTATCCTCCATTATATTTTTCATCTATTATTATATCTTCATGTTCTATCCAATTCACCACCTTTTTTATTTTTATTTTTTATTTTTAATCTCACGTTTTAATCTTCATCAAAATTAAAAGGTACTACTTTTTTTTTCCTTTCTCACTATTATCAAATTTTTATACATAATTTAGAAATTGATAACTTATTTTACGTGAGAAGAAGAATCACACATTAGAAAAACATAACACCTTTTTATAAAAAAAAATGAGTTATAGATGTTTTGTTTTATTATGGACGAGATCAAGAAACTAATAAATACTTCGAGATTGTGGATCAACATCATATAAAGATAAATGTATCAAATTTTATTTAATTTTTAAATTTCATGTGTTGAACATGAAATCTAAAATATTTGTTAATACAAACATTAAATTTAGTAGGAAAAAAGTTAAAAAAGAGAATTATTAATGTTGAATTGAGTAAGTTGATTTATCACATTAAGATCTCAATTTCAATATATAATTTTGAATGAGGTTATATATGAATTATGGAAAGAGATTGAACCTCTACAACAATGACTAGGAAAAATAGATGATACTCAAAATGTTGTTATGTTTATTATTTTTATATTTTTAGAAATTGTTAACTTTTATATTATTTTATTTAACTTACATCAAATGATTTATATTCCATGAAATACCTACCCTCACTCTCATCTCCACTTACATGTTTACTGTCTATATAACTTCTAACAGCCCAATTTTTACTGGGCCAAGAGCCCAATTAAGGTGGTTTAGTAGGCCAGAACGGGCCGTTCTACATTTGGAACGGGCCGTTCCGAATTACTAAATAGACCTACTTTTGGTAGCCCGGAACGAGCCGTTTCAGAATTGGAACGGGTCGCTCCAGAATACAAAAATTGTCTACAGATTTTAGATAGGAACGGGGCGTTTCCAAATGGAATGGGGCATTCCCAAATTGAGAACGGGCCGTTCCAGAGTTGAGAACGGGCCGTTCCAAAATATGACCGTTGTGAGTATTAAATGCACCCCAGAACGGGCCGTTCTGGTTTGAGAACGGGCCGTTCTGGGGAAGCCTGATGCCTATAAATAGAGCACTCTGCCACTCCCAAAAAGGATACCTCTCATTTTCTGAGTTCTTTTCTTCTTTTCTCTCCTCTCTTCTTCTGTACTCTCTGAAGACCGAGGGGAACCCAGCAGAGGAGATCAACCAGATCCTTAGTTTCAGCTACTGTTTATCCAGGTACGGGGGAAAAGGGAATTATTTATATGAAGAGTTACATGAGAGAATTGGGTAGAGGAAGAGTCCTTAGGATTATGAGTAATTTTATAATTATTTCTGTTTGGAGAATTATTGATTTTATATGATTCTGTATGTGTTAAGGATTATGAATATATGATTAGTTTGTACAAATGATGATCTGGGAGACAGAACGAAATTATAGAAAAGTGTCTGTAAGTTAGGTTTTGGAAAAATTGGATTATTTCTGTTTGAGAAATTAATGATACCATTAGATTCTGTATGGGTTGAGGATTATAAATATATATTTAATTTGTAAGAATGATGATCTAGGAGAGAGAACGAAATCGTAGAAAAGTGCCTGTGAGTTAGGTTTTGAAAAAATTGGGGGTTTTATTGTTTGGGTTAAGATTTTATTAAATTGGCGATTTAATCTGGTTTTATATTAATTTATAAATATTATTATTACATGATTTGGTAAAATTGATGATCTAGATGATGATTCATGGTGAATTATTTGAGGGGTATGTGAACCACCATTTTGTGTGGATTGTGTATGTATTGTGGAATTGATATGTGGATATGGATGTGGATGTGGATATGGATATGGATGTGGATGTGGATGTGGATGTGAATGAGAATGTGATTGTGGTTCCTCACACTTGTGACCAGGGGTGGCACGACCTTAGACAAGAGATGCTACAGGCGTGACCTTGGCATAGTATGGGATGGGTGATTCCTCATGCTTATGTCGGGGGTGGCACGACCTCGAGTAAGAGATG